AATTCCCGTTCTGCTTTGTAGTCTTCGTCGTCTTGGCCCTCCTGGCATGGACACTCTCCTCTTTGGCGCGGGCGCTGTCCCGGCTGTCTTCAAGCCGGTGGCACCTACGGAAGGGCATCACAGCAGCCCTCTCTCATCCACCAGCACCGGAGAGCGCGACCTGGCCGTGCTCCCGCGGCACACGCGCTGCCTCGTCGTCGGCAACAACCGTACCAAGGCCAGCCTGATCGGTAGGCGTTGATGGGTGTTCAACAATGCGATTGATCGCGTTGAGAGGGGCCGAGCTCCCGCCCGAGCCGATGAGCTCCGATGTCCCTTGCTGACGCTGCCTCCCTCGGGGTCTCAATGCAGGCGTGGAGGTGGTCGTTCAGAAAGCCACGGGCTTGGGAGGCTGGCACCACGTGGTGAGTTCTGTCTGGGGCCCGTGAGATTTTTCCACCCCGGAACGGGAGCACGGCATGCCTGTGCCCCCCAGCCTCACCCGCGACGTCGCACACCATCATTCGCATGTCTCGAAACAGTTTCTGCCCACTGGTGAGGAGATCAAGCTGCAGAGGAACGCGCTCTCGATCGTCGAGCTGGGACCTCCGGTGAGGTGCATCACATGCCCAGCGCCTTGACCCGCTTGTCCCATCGCGTGCACCAGCAATTTGTTGACGCCGCTATTTTCCTATTCGCAGGAGTCCCAGCAGTCCTCTGAGGACGAGCTGGAGGCCGACCGCGACCCACTGAGGCTTGGTGAGTGCGGTCCGCCCACGTCCATCCCGGGTCCAGCTCTGCCAGAGCCCTTCTGTGGCAACGGTTACATCCTCGAAATCAGCCGCGGGCAAGTTGGCGCCACGCAGCGGAGGTTGACCACCAATGCATCACGCTCCCCGGTTGACCTGCGCGCAATGCACACCCAGCCCACCCTTTCATCCCGCCCATGTGCGCCATGCTGTGCAGAGGTTAACGAACGCATTAGGATCCGCAAGGCGCCCCGCTCCCTGTCGCCGGTGCCAGGTGCGTTGTGCTTTCGAGGTCCCTTACCATGTGTGCTGGACATTCCACTCCCCAGGCTTATAGAGACCAGCGTTTGGTATGTGTTGCCTGCGGCATGCGCCACAAAAAAATAAATACCAAAGCGGCAAGATTCTCTTGATCTTTTCCACTCGTCACTCACTCCAACAGACATGTTCAAGCCCTCGTCGTCACGGCCCAGCAGCAGTGGAAGCGGGAGCGGCGGCAGCAGTGGCGGCCGTTACCACCCCTACAGCCCCCCCGGCGCCACGATTAATAGCCGCACAAGCAGCGAGGTGGGTCCTTCTTCAGGCGGTGCGTTGTGCGCCTGGGGTGCGGCATGCGTGCGCCACACTCACTGGGGCCCCTGCTGTGGCTGTGCATTCTTCGCTCGCCAGGGGCGGGTAATGACAACACAGGAACACGAGCCACGCACAGCTTGTTTGTCACACCACACTTCACTCTGTCGCTCTCGGGTTCTCTCCCTGTGCTGCATGCGCTGCAGTCACTCGACCTGTGCAAGCTGGAGACAGCATCCCTGCGCCGCTACCGCCGCGTGCACCAGCTGGTGGGTCGAGCGGGCAAGGAGCAGCAACAAACAGCGGCGCGAGCAGCACTGGTGCTTGTGACAGCGCCAGCAACTTGGGAATGGGGCGCGGCCAGGGAATTGGGGACCCGGACGCCAGGGGCAACCACAACAGCCAGTCGCGACCTCGACGATCAAGCGTCAGCCGCCGGGGTCTCGCCGCTTGCGTCCCTGATCCCCGCCCCAACTCCCTGCCACCACCTCGTGACTTGTGCCAGGGAGAGGTCGAGCCCACCGCTCCGCGCGAGCAGCTGGCCAGCGCCGTCAGCCGCCACTTCCGCAGCCAACTGGTCGCCGACGAGAGCGGCGTGCTGCTCGCGTTCTGCGCCGCGCTGCGGCGCCGCTCCTCGGCTGGCGGCGGCGGCGGCTTTGACGTGTGCGACGTCTGAGTCGCTCCTTGGGACGGGGCATTGATCCTCGGATGGACCGTCGGGACTCCTGGCTTGCTAAGGCTCCGTTAGCTGCAAAGATGAACTGCGGCGGTCATCCTGCGTCTCGGGCTGCCCTCGCGCGGCAGCGGGGGCTTTTGGCGGCGGGCGGCGCTCCCAGGCGCAGCCGCCGCCGCCGCCCTCCCGTTGCCGCGCCGGCGAGCCCCTGGCGGCAGTGGGCACGCTTGTGCCGCTCGGCGCTGCGGCTGCCATGACTTTCTAGCCTCCTGGTGTGGCATGCAGCACCATCTGCGCTGTGCAGCCCGTCACGGCTTGTTTGGGGTTCTTGAACAGCTGCCTGGCAGCACCGGGCCCCGCGGTGCCAACCGCCTACACCGCCACGCAAACGCGTGGCTACAAGAGGGGAGGGATGCACTGAGGCAGGGAGGGACGACATCAGCGAGGGCGGGCTAATCACCACACACCGTGACAATGAGGCACGGCGTGGAGGGGTCACCACTACCCAAGAGCGCACTATGTTTCACGCCATGGGGCACGAGGGACCTTTGTCACAGAGGGGTTATTTGTTGTTCCGCCGCACCCCTTTGTGGGAAACGTGTTGAGGGGGTTTTCATGGCCGCGAGGCCGGCACGTCGAGCACTGCTTTCATGGTGCGGCGCGGCGCGCCTCTTTGCAGGAGCGCGCTCCCGCCAGCGGCGTCGACGCCCGCCCTTATCCTGGGGAATTCGCGCAGCACCCCACACACGCGCTGCGCCGCTACGGCCTCGTTTTACCACCGAGAAGCTCACCTCCGCGGCACCCTATTCTCACGCTATGGGCTTTGCCCAACCGTGGCGCTTGCCCTGTGGCGCGAGGGGCTTGCCTTGCAACCCTTCACCGTCCCCGCACAGCTGACCCGCGGTCCTGGCGGGCGGTCATCCTCCCGCTGCGCAACCGCCAAGCTGCGCCGGGGCGCATCCTCTTTTCCGCTGTGCCCTGGCCCTTTGCGGTCCCACCTCAGATGCACATTGTTCCCCTGGGAGCAGCAGCACGCAAGACCGTGTATGCGGTGTCGCCCCCTAGGGTTTTAGGAGCACCGTCCCTGTTTGGTATGCCTCGGCGTCGCACACGCACTTTCCCAGGTGTGCGCGTTGTCCTTGCCGAATGGTTGAAAGGTGGTTGCTGACTGTTTTGAGGGGTAGGTGCCACCCGCCCAGCATTGATATAGAGGGAACGTATCGTCTCCTGGTGTGAAGATCCGGGCGTCGAGGTACCCCGGCCACCCTCAGTCCGTATCACATTTGACTATTGGAATCGTACGACGCGCGCACGTCCAATGACACGCGCAGAACCCGACCCAGGCACCAGCCAAGCTTTGCCTTGTGACGCCCCCCAAACGAGCCCTGATGTGCGGGCGCCGTTCGTGGGCCCCCCGTGTGTGCAGCGCCTTTGGTCTGTTGGGCGAGACCGCCCAGGTTGTGTTGGCTCCGGCGCTGCTGCGCACTGTCTGTTTTTGAGTGCCGCTGCAACCCCTAAGGTCGGTCGTGGCAGGTGGAGAGACGACGATGACGCGCGCCGTCTGCCGAGTTGTGTGATGTGCATGATCCCGCTGCCATCCGTACGCGTGAGCCGCAATCCTGAACCAAGGCGGGTGACCACCCGGGGCCCGCGCCCTTGTACACAGTATTTGCGCTGCTGCGCACGTCTGCCGCACCGCATCCGCTCTCTGCCAGGGCCTCATGGTTTTTTCGAGGGAACAAATGTGAGGGCTGGAGGGCGAAGAAACGAGGGGAGGGAGGGCAGGTTTGGGACCCGCACGGGCCGTTTTCCTACTGAGTGCCACGCACTGCTGCCGCCTCTGCGCACACCTTTCAATGCGTTCTCACTTCAAGCTGCTTTTGGCTGTGAGTAGCAGCTTGGTGTTGGGCTGTGAGTTCTACGGCCGCCGCGCTGTGTTGGTTGGTGCTGGTGCAGCCGCGACCGCGCTTTCCTGCTTTCCCGCGTGCACGTGGCCATGCGCCCTTTGCTGCAGGCTCACCCGGCAGTTCTCTGCCAAACTGACCATCATGGCTGGATAGACCCAGCAGCCTGCACATTGAATCCGCGACGCCGGTGAGTGCGTGAGCTGCGCGCCGAGAGGCTCTTGAACTGGACAATTGTTCACTCCTTGTAACCTTGTTCTACTGTCAATCCCATCTCCCTTCAATACAGCGGGCGTGCTTGCAATAACAATGGCGATGCACATCTATTGAAAAGCTGCGACGCAATCTGCGCCGCGTCCTGCCACATCATGGGTGATTGAGCAACTTGCATCTGCAGTTGACTGCAGGCCACAAAAGAAGCAACCGCCTTGCACCCTTACACGTGATGAGCCGCCTGCCTGCCAATGCGGTATCAGGCAGTAGCAGACATCACGGGGGGCTTGGGCTCTGGGGAATGGGGCCGTTGTGTGCGGGTGCTGGGGAATGGGGCCGTTGCGTCTGGCTGCATCGGCCTGCGCACCCCACCCGCCAAAGGCTGCTATGGTCATCAAACATGGGGAGTAGGTGGGTGCTTTCGCTGTTTGCCACCAACAAGTTGGTAAGAGGGAGTTGGGCAGAAGTCACCGTGCCAATTCTGTTGTTGGCGCTGGGTATATAAAAGTTTGTTGATCCTGTCATGTATGCACAACAACCCAACAAACGCATGCAGTAAGTGATCAATCAAAATCAATAGCGCGACGATGCCTTCATCAATTGAAAGCGCACAGCCCCGCCACACTGGCTTGCGGGCAGTGGCTTCTGCCGCCACCCACACAACCCAGCCGGGGCCCGCGCCGAAGGGTGCTGGCGTGCAACAACACTTGCTGCTGGCTCGAATCACGAGTGCAGCAGAAGTCAGTGACTTCAAGGGGTGCGGCCAAGTGTCAGGCCTCAAGCCTCCATGCCCTGAGGGTCCAAGAGCCCCTGCGCGTTGCGTAGCCGTCAGCCCACCCCCCCCCTCCAGCACCACACTCGCGTGTGCCGCGGTCCCAAATCACGCGGGCACCCGCTTGGGCTTCGTTGCTTTGAAGCCGAAGTACAGGTTCTGTGGGTAGGGGTTGCTCATCAGCTCGACCCACCAGGCTTGGCCCTTGGGGTCGGCCATGTCGGCTGTTGGCAGCCCCACAAAGTTCATCAGGGGGCCGAAATCCGGCTGCGCGTTGGCAAGGGAGCGGTTCAGCGGCGGTCAGCTTGCACACTTTTTGAGGGGCTGATGCTGATGTGCTGCGGGGGCTGCGCGTGGGGTGCTTCGGGGAAGAGAGCTGGCCAGGAGCTGCTTCTGGTGTGCAGGTGGCTGCCATTACGTGCCCAACACAGCCGTGCCCAACACCACTACGCCACGCGCACGTTCCAAAACCGTCCACTCGGGGCCGCTCTCCCACGCGCAACGCCCCGCCCCTGCGTCCGGCGCGCAACCCAAATACTCACTGTGGGCAGAAGGATGCTGATCAGGCGTGCGTCCAGGTTGTGGAATGTTGCCCAGCGGGCCCTGAGGGTGAGCAGAAGTGGGAGTCGTAGGGAGACACCGTCGGCCATGCGGCTTACAACTGCCGCAATTCTCCTCGCTCGAGCAGCAAAGCAATGGCCACAGAAGCCGCGCAAGGCCGCCCCATGCCTGTCAGTAAGCAACAGCCCTCCGCGCCAAGGTGGTGGGCGCAGAGGGCAAGACAGGGCATGCACACGACATGCCAAGCACGGCCGGGGGGACCCCTCGAGCCCGCTGCGCCCTCGCAGGGCGAGCCCATGCTCACGTGTGCGTCCCCCAGCTGACGTCGCCGCTGGCCTCGAAGACGCGCGTGCCCATGCCGGTGTTGATGTTGGTCCAGAGGTTGGCGTAGGGGGCAGACCTGGCCAGGGGGCAGCGTTATTTGAGGAACAAGTTGTATGAACAGTGTGGATAGAAGGTTTGTGTGTGGGCTGGTCACAGTCCACACGGTCAGGTGTTTTCTCTGTTGCGCCAGGCACCTCAGACATGCATCCCGGCCAGGGCGCAGGCGCGCACACATGCACGCGCGCGCGCGAGAGCGCGCGCACACACACACACACATACACACACACACAAACGTTACCCGCCCGCGTGCGTTCAATTTCTATGCAACATTCCGTCTCGCACCATTCCCTCTTCCGCAAACCATCGCATGCCCATTCACACAGCATGCACTCTCAACCAGTGC